TGACTTTTCCACAATAATTCTTGTCAAAGAATGTCTTTCTTTATGGCACTCGCCAACCTACTGAAAAAGGAATGTTTTGATTTTTAGTGTTCTGATTATACAAAACACGAGAGAAATAATGCATTGAAAACTATAATTTTTTTTTATATCGACGCTTAACAAGTACCCGCGAGACACTCGTTAATAAGATCCTTTCGCAAGCCTCGGACAATTATGTCAACAGGCTCAGTCCTTAAGTAAGGTGAAATCGGGAACAAATTTCTTTGGTTGGTTGTCAATACCGTGACCTGCCATGGTTAATTAACACTTAAATCTCTTATTATCATTTGGAAGCAATCGGTCATACAATTAACTAAAAAATAGCACAACATCAACGAGCACCACAATACGTGTTCAGCATGCCCAACAAGAAAAAATATTCGATTTTCAAAATATCGAATTTGACTATAGATGTCCCGAAAAAGAAATTATAATGTTCTCAATTTTTTGATTACTTAACGAGTACCCCTTTCTCATAACATCAGTAAAATTGAAGTCACTGAAATAATCAAAAGCTCGACTCGTGTTTGGACTCAGCACTGAGTTAGCTGAGCTCCGCTCGGCTCGATCACGCCCTGTTCCCGATGATTCTTTATACGACATCCGAGGAAATCAAAGTCTAATCATCATCAACAAGTCTCATCTGGGCAAAAGACAGGGATCATCAACAGACGCGGCGAAACGCAATCGACATTCGTATGATTTCAACTCGTTTTTACATTATCATCGCTGGTTTTTCTGGCGACAAGGAGTTGGTGCCACTGGTGCGGGCCTTGGGATTTGCTCTGTTTCTCGTCACGAAGATGGCCGCCAACACGGCGAAGTTTTCTTGGGGCCTGTGCTCATCCCAGACGAGCGAGCTCGCGGTTCGTCTCGTCACGGGAACGAAGACGAACCCGAGTTCAAGCATCAGACGATCGTCTGATCCGCGACAGCTCCTCGTCGACCCGAAAAAGAACCTCTGTCTCTGTCTCTGTCTCTGTCTCTCTCTGTCTTCAAGAACTGGAGGCGGGGTCTTGGGAAAGATCGCGTCTTCCGTGATGGGGCGTCGCCAAATCTTCAACCGGAGTCTTCCCCTCCTCCGATCATTCTTGGAGGACCATGTCGTGACCCGGATTCAATCGGAGACGGAGTGCTCGTGCCAGCAGAGGAGCATGTGGGTGCAGCGATACAGGATGTAGGCGCGCGTCTTCTGCTGCTTCGCCATCTGGAGGCAGCGCTTCTTGAGGCCCGCCGCCGTCTTCCTCCGGGGCGGCGGCTGCTTCCTCCTCGGCCGCTGTTTCTCCGCCGAGAAGATGTACTGATCGATCATTCTTCCTCCTCCTCCTCCTCCTCCTGCCTTCTTCCCTCTCCTCTGTTGCGGACAAGATACGAGGATTTGGCGACGACGTAGGCGATGAGATTGAGGAACAAAACGAGGTTTGCGGACTTCTTTATAGGGAGATTTCGATGGGGGGCAAGGCACACGGGTGGTCCCCTGTTTCGGAGTTTTTCAGAGGTCATTTCTTGGAAGAAACCCGCCCGGTTGCTTTTCTTCGTATTGACCAAATTATCCCTACCCAATTGTGACGTCTTTTTCCGCCCAATTTTTTTTGTTTTTGTTTTTTGGCATCTTTAATTTTTATTTTCCCTTTCCTGAGGTGGTGCTGTGCTGGGTCATTTTGCTTCGCGTCCAAGGGCCAATTTTATAAACCCCACGGCCAAAAAGAAGGAAGAGTTACGAGAGATTTCGTGGCCCATATGGAAGCTTAGTCGCTTCTTCAAGACATCCGATATGATCGGAACGACTCGGGGGTGTTTTGTCGGGAAAGTGATGAGAAAATGCCGTGAAAGCGAATCGTCCTTCGATCCAATAAGCAGAGAACGCTTTTGGAGATTGACAATAGTCTCGAGATAACCGCAGATCCAGCGTTGGAGAGAATCGCTCGGCTTATACCCATTACTGATAAAAGATGCGAACGAATGATACGAGGACGAATTCACATGCGCCGAATTCCATCTCCATCGAGGCCACACGAGTTTGGGGGTAAAACTCTCGCCTTGACTAGAGAGAGCTCATCATCGGGTCTACGAATGAAAAAGTGCCTTTGGATAATCACACATCAAATTCCAATTTGTACACCCCGAAAGGGTAATTTAGGGGGAGGGGGGCAAATCCGTCAATGCGGCTCTCGAGTCAAAGAACAAGCGGGGGGCCCACGTTCGGAACGAGGAGAAGCCGTGTGTGTGTTGGGGGGGATGAGGACGAACCCCGAGGTGTGGGCCCCACCGCCCGACGCCGCCACGTGGAATTATTTTGTCCCCGTTATATTTACGCACGTTTTTTTTTTAAAATTTTTTAAATTCCGTTTATTTAAATATGGAGGTAGTTTAGTTTAATCCATGCTCTTGCCTTCTAGATGGTGAAAATATGGCGGCCCACAGAACTATAAAATCAGTTTTGGATCGCGAGAATTCTCGCTAAATTATTTTTTTATATATATATTTTTTCGGGGTCACAATTTATAATAAAGAAAGTCGACTCAACAGGCGCATGTGAAATTCCTCATTAATAATTAAATATATTCCTTTTTTTTTCTTTTCTTTTCTTTTCTTGGGGTCAATCTGATCCCACCGAAATGCACATTCCACTAATTTTTGTCGAGCGATTTCTAGAAGCGCTTTTTGAAAAAAAGGTGGGTAAGCGAGAGGAAGACAAAAAAAAATTTAGTTAAGGAAGAGGAAGATTATCCAAGTCTTTTGTTTCATATATAAATCTAGTTACCGAATAAATAGATGGTATATTTTATTAGATGGAACATGATACGACGATCCGATACCGATGGCTTAAATGGCATATATCCTTTGAGTCGCTTTTCGAATGGAGGCGATGAATGTCGGAAAGGCCGCCCCCGAAGCAAACGGACGGGGGTTCGAGCAGTGCCCTTACGAAACTTCTGTGTCATGGGAGGTGGGTTTGGGCAATATATCAAGCCCAATCTATAGGGTCGGTCCGGCCCGGACATGTCCGGCGATCGATCGCCTCCGACATCGAGGGCAATAACTCTCCGTTCGCCTAACGATGTTTCAAGAGGCAGAAAGAGAGAAGGAAGAATCCCAAAAAGGACGAGAGAACTTCGTGAAGCTGAAGCCGCCGCCCCACCTTACCCGCCGTGCAAATTGCGAAAAGGAGCCCTTTCATGGGCGGCGTTGGTCCCAACTCTCGTAAGCCAAAGGTCGTTGGGGTCCCACTTTGTCCCCGCGTTACTATGTAACCGATGCTCGGGTCGGCACCACTCGTGAGACAAGCGATGACGTAAGCGTAGGCGTACTATTATTCTACGGGTTAATAATACCGCGAAAAATCTCAAATTGATACACTTGCGTACCAAATTTAACGATAACTTAATTTTTTTTACCACTAAAAACTTCAAATTGTTACACCCGTGACAAATTTACCCACCAAAACTCCAAAATTATATGCTTTGTGACATGATTTGCATCTGCTAGTTCCTGTTAAATTGATTAATAAATACGAAAAATCACAAACCTAAGACATCCAGAATAAATAAAGTAGGTAAAATCCTAAATTGGTACATCCATCAATTGCGTGTAACAATTAAACTCAAAGAATTGACTATAAAATTTTAACGAAAACTAACGAAGTATAAATTTATTCCAAGCGTACCGTTTCGGGATATTTTGTAATAAAAAATTAAATATTTAAGAACCGAGTTTTTCGTGATATTAATAAAAAATATTGCAAGATATTGACCGACGCGATAGTAAAGTGCCGCCTACAACGTGACTCAGGTTTTGGCTCATGCACGGGGACCAACCTTATCCACGCCCCTGGTGTAACTGTCAACCGCGATGTCGGCCAAGCTTTCTTTTTAGAGTCAAAGGTGCACATACATTAGCCAAAGCATGTTTGGCTTCTGCTTTGTTTCTCTCGCTAGAAAAGTGCGTCCGGGACGATGCAGAGTTCGAACTCTCCCCGCACGGTCACAACCCAATTCGAATCTCGCGGCTGCTGGGAATTCTCGACTTTCCGTCTAGTCGGGACCTTGAGCTGTGTAATCTGCGCGGTCAAGTCATTCCTTTAACGCTTCGCCAATTTGCCGACTTGGGGAATTTGATGCGATATAAATTAATCGAATGACCCATGTGACGTGCTGAAATGAGGATGGACGTAACTCGAATATGAACTCGCTCGATAGTGTCGAGGGCTAATGAAGCCCCTCACCACCTAGTGTTGGAGGGGCGGCGGCGCGGCCCCTCTTCTTTACCGAACGCATGCTCGCTTCGTAATAGGAATGTGCAAGAGAACCGGGAATTGCCTGGAACGAAATCGGACTAGCTTGAAACCAGCTGTTCTCGTGGAGACTAGTCCGATTCCTAGTTCTAAGCGTGGAATGCTCACCCACCCACCCAAACCGGACCAAAAAAAAAAATTAAGAAAAATGAAAACCTTAAAATCCTTAATTTGATGCTCAATGTCCATTAACTGAGTGTTCGTCTCGTCTGACTCTCACCTTGTCTGAGTCGTATCTCTATCTTTCATTCATGGCCTTGACTCTCAATCTCAAGTTTCATCAACTCACAGCCGCACTCCCGGCCATTCATTGTCTCCCTCTCTCGCTCTTGATTATCTCTATTTGTATAAAACTTGGTGGGATCGGTTCCCAAGTGGATCCATGGAACCAACGGGCGATTCTTGATTCTAATTTTTTGAACCGATCAAGAATCACCTCCCTGGATCATGCTCACCCCTACCCTGGATTCGTGGTTTGCCTTTTTCTTTGTTTATTCGTGATTTGCCTTTTTAATTGTCTTACGACTTTATCTGGCCCTATGATGTAACGTGCCAAGTCAGATTGGAGTTTTCAACCCCAAGTGATGGAAGGACAATTACCCAACTGCAAAATTAACATAAATTAGAGCCCTTGATTGTAGACTTTGTAGTTAAAAAAGAGAAAATGAACATAAATTAGAGCCCTTGATTGTAAACTTTGTAGTTAAAAAAGAGAAAAACTTAAGGACACAATTCCACATCTCTCATCAGTCGAGGGATGAAAAGTCTTCTCGACCCAATGTTTCAGCATCAAACGGAAGAAAGTAAGGCAGAAAATTGGATGTCTGAAATCGTTGAATGATCTGATGGAGTTTGGCGTATGGGACCGATTTGGAAAATTAGCATCTGAGTTTCTTTCTCTCCAAATATAATTGGTAAAATTAAATACAAACACAAGCAACCAAGTAGCTATAGATAGTATGAACAGACACCTTAACACGTGAAAACTAGATGAAAACAGGGCGATTATGTCCGAAAGTCGAACTAAATGGATGAGTTTGGTTCAGATACGTCCCTCCGACCTTAACCAAAGAGCTGGCTGGGACTGAAACGAGAATGGAGCGAATCAAATCGAACTGGAATGATCTGTCGGTTTTCCTATACATGCTTTTCGGCTTTCGCCCGATCGAGATCAGTCCCATGTGTGTGGGTGGGTACGACAGACGGATCGATGTTTGGTCTAGAAATTTTTAAGGACAAAACACAACCGTAGTTTTGGGATCGGTCCTCGAGAGGAAATGTGGGCCGGCTTACAGAGATTTGAGGAAGAGGAAAACGCTTTTGCCTTCTTGATGGCAATGAAGCATGTGATGTGTGTGCGATAGGAGAGGAGCTGAAGCATGTGACGGAGGAGACAGTGCACACTGTCCTTATGAAGAGTTCACATCGACATTCAAAGATGCCTAATGATTTCACACGATGGAAGAGGCATGAGATCGGTATAGTAGAGTCGACAAAAACAGGAGGCGGAAAAGAGACGGACACGAGCATTGGCCAGTTCACTTTGGATTAGCCCAGAAACTAGACGAAAGTTCTTAATCAACCCGAAGTTTGTTCCAGATCATCATCGACGGTCAGATACCGCCTCTTCTTATGACGACCGTCCCCATCAGATTAACCATTTTGGACAACGAGAAGGAAATCTACCAAACTGACATCTATCTGATCCTAGTTAGGGCCGTCTCTCTGTCATTGCCTTTTGTCAACTCTAGTCAATTTCGTTCCAACACCTCGGCAACATCAGAATATCAAGTTTGCTTATTTTGTTTTTTGTCCTAGGCCTGGTATTCTCAGCTTTCACGAGCCGTTGTGTGTGACAATATTCAGATTTTCTAGTGTTCTGCAAGTAGTACCATCGACCTCAAGAAAGGCTGAAAGAACAGTCTTTGAACTTTGATAGAACAGCATACTGAATTAGAATAAAGCCAAATTGGCAGCTAAAAGTGTTTGCATGGCATTTTGTTGAAGTATTTCAGATCAGACTTATTAATAGTTATTTACCAAGCGTCGTCAGGGAACAATCCTATGTCCTCAAGTGATAATACTTGTCGAGAAGCAGCTCCGAGTATTCTCCAAAAGTGAGAGCACTCCTCGACGAGATAAGCTGAAACAGAGGAGAATTCAGAAGTGAGACACAACCTGTGGCTATGCAATCTACGGGACTGGAAAGCTACTGCAAACAAAGGCCACTACAATGCTAATATCCACCGGAAAAACAAAATGGAAACGCTAAGTTGCAGGGAATAGAGGGGCAGGATTTCCAGCAAGACCACCTCAGTGCCTCATTAGAAAGACCCCTCATATATAGGGTAAAGATTGTAGATGCCCCCACAACCGTATTGTAAAATGTCATCTAAAGCGGTCAACAGGATAAGTTCACACTCTGATGGAAGGACGACAGATGAACTCGATCTCATTTTTGAGAACACAGTAGAGATTTCTATTCAAAGTTTCGCACAATGAAAAAAACTTACTAGATCAAATTAGGCGAGAAATATTAGAAGCTTTAGGTGTTCATTTTGTATACAACAGCTGAGATAAGGAAATTGTTGACCATCTCATCTAGTTAACATTTTGTTGACAGTGAATAAGCATTACGAGCTTAAGGATTAAGAACTGAACTGATTTGAAGTGATCGCCAGAACTGCATCTGTAAGTCAACAGTAACTTTGCGAGGGCAAAATTACATCTCAATAGCCAATTTTAACTCAATTCTGGACTACCGTGTCAATTAAGTGAGTTGAGTTCTGTACGATGAGTTTCACATAGCTGCTACTAATCCGGCAGCAACAGTTCCTCCTTAGTCTACCTAGTTTTTTCAGTTGTGTAAATATTTTGGGAACATTATAATAATTTTCGGCTAACTATAGCTCATAAAGTTTATGTAGATTTGCAAAAGTTTATTTTAGATAAGAATAATATTTTGACATAAGATGGTCTGAAAGTCTCAGCATTTTATGGAAAGACTGCCTTCTCCTTTCATTATCTTTTTGAGAGAATTGGTTAAGATAAACCTACTAGCACTGAAAAACCTCTCGGAGTGCAGCTTTAGCATAGAAAGATGCATGCCTCCTAAAAGCAACATCAGGGAGGTGCAATAAAGACTCCGAATGAGCTGAATCCTTTATGATTTCCTCATTCAGACTACCATTGAACCTCTCATTGAAACTCATCGACTGCATGCTCCTACTAGAATCAAACCCCATAAGCGGAATCAACTGCAAGTTTCTCTTTAAAAAATATGAAAGCACTATCCATCATCGTGAGCTAATTATGGGGTAAATTGTATGCTTTGGCCATTGCATCTGTTAAGAGAGTCGAAAATTCAGTGGAGTATGCTGTAAGTGATGTTTGCAAGGTTGAGTCAGGTGTGCTGTAGGAGGGTTAGGTCATGTAAACCGTAGGCTGTGTGTGTGTCATAGGTTAAAAGGTATTATTATTGTCTTTCTGTCTTAGTACGCTCTATAAAAAGAGCCACTATTTAGTCTTTCATAAGTAAAGTTATTAACAATGTAGCCCTTTCTATTTTTTGGCAACTCATCAGAATTTTAAAGGTGCTGACAGTGACAATCTTATTGAGCAATGTAAGCATCATTACCTCTTTATGAATGTGCAGTTCTTCAGGAAAATTGAGCTTTTCATCCCTACAAGAAGAAAATATACATCAACCATATGCTTACTCCATATAACATTACTGCTAGGTATAAATTTCAGCAATAGTCACTGAACTCTAGTGGAATTTGCAGTTTGGCCACTAAACTTTCATTTCTATCACCCAATGCTCTTGACTTTCAAATTTTTGCAATCAATGCTCTTTAGCCAGAATCCAGCCAGTTTCCCAGCAAAGTGCTGACGTGGCGGACATGTGGTCCTTTTCAAAATTAACATCACTTGATCTTTTTTGCACTGAGATTTGCATCACGTGGTTCAAAAAATACAAGCATCCCTGACAGTGTGGTCAATTAGCATATTGCATATTTATCTTCTAGTTTTACATACCAGTCTGGCTGCATAAATAGTGCAAAAGTAGATCTGTCAACTCCAAAAGCTGCTTCCCCCTTAGGTGCCTATCAAGTATTTCGAACATCAGACTAAAATTTGATGAGGCCACAAAGCCAAAGAAAGAACGACAGAAAAATAAAGAGAAGCAGAAAAATTATCATCATCACAAAAGGTCTATGGCTTTGTCTTGGAGCAGTTCTATGGTAGCAAGTGCAATTGATGAAATGAAAAGCGCAGAAGGACCTATAGGAGGACAGAAATAATATAAAAGTCGTCAAAATAAGTTCACCTCCTGCCTAAAAGGTAGAAAGAGCTTTAATATCATCCAAGCTAATAATCAGCTCAAATCACAAAGATGCGAAGTGTTTCTAGTAATTTCAATGATAATCATCATTTGGGGGCATAAATTACCAGCCGGTTTTTTGTCCCTATCCTAAAAGATCAGAAGTTTGATAAAAAAAAAACATGAGAAGTTTCACAAGAAAGACTGCCTGTTTCATTTCGACTCTAATTTTACCTATAGAGGCACTACTGGTAGAATTTGTTGCTCCTGCAGGACAGTGTAACTTCACTAAATGGAACAGATGCAAGCACATATATCTTTTTGCCCCTTTCTGTGTCAAGGCTACAGCAGATAGAAGAGCGACCATTTAAGCTAACCTATGTTACCTTGCTTCAAACAAAAGATAATTTGTGAAACAGACGGTATGCTAAGATCAATGTACCAATAAAAGGGAGCTAGATTATACCCGGACACAATGTGGAGTTGCACAAAGATAACCTCTAGAAAGTATTTCAGTGGTTTCACCAATTTGATAACCTATCTCGTCATCTTCATAAACCACCTAATGCATTCAAAAAGAAGAGAATAGCCGAAAATAAGATAGTTGCCCTGAAGAAATGGAAAAGCCAAGGCATTCTCAGTATAATATACAGACAACCGCCATCACAGTAACAAAAGCAGTACAAGTTCATTCTTTAGAGTCAAAATGCAACATCTTTGCAAAAGTACTTCTAACAAGAAGTTTATTTTGTGTCGCCCTCCATATATGACTCTTTGTTTTGCAAACGACATTTTTTTAACCAGTTACAACTCTAGTTTTTCAATTAAAATAAAGGAAAGGTGTGACCATCTCTTGATAGCTTGTACTGATTATTTTTACAGATTATCATTCAAGCTCAATATAATTTTAATTTTTTTTTACCGCAGTAGACATCATTTTGACTTGCGAAAAATTGACATTACGCTTGTCGACGGAAGAAGTCAGGGAATATCTTTGAACAACTAATTCAAAATAAGTTGCCTCAGTCATTCATCTTTCTTTCACCAACCTGCTGATCACAACATTATTGTCTGTTAGAGGTTCCTTAATGAAAGATAAGTGGCCTTTAGTCGTTCATTTATATTTCAGGAACGTGCAGATTGCAACAATACTTGTGTTATTGTGGAACAATCTGAAGGGAGTATGTTTACTATCCAGCTAAATGACATTTAGTCACTCACTAGATTTTATTTTTTACAAAATTAAGATCCTGGTTTGGAACAAAAGGTTCATGCCCCTGTGAAAAATATAGCTCTTGGTATCTTCAATGGCAGCATAAGCATAAATGAGTTACTATTATCTAAACTTTTTCTATGATAACCAATAAAGTGGCATCCATGACAAGGCACATTTAGCATTTTGAAGCAACGTTGGAACTTAACAGAACATCAAGAATAAGGAAATATACTTTGACAATTTGCTCGGTTCGTGTTCTAATGTAAAGGCCAGCAGCACTGTCGGGACAAGGCACTTCAACTCCATCTCTCATAAAAATTGCACAGGTAAGGCCTACAGAAGGGTACCGTTATATGTAAATCAATTGATAATTAGGGACACCATGAAAGAGTTGGTTTTTTCTGACTGTCGTTACAGGATTGCTAATGAAGATCAAGCAAAAATAATGATGAGGCTATGAGCAGAATGAAGAAAGTTGAAGGCAAAGTTGTCATCAATGATTTATATGTCTAGTCCGTACAGTGCAAAAAGACTTTTTGTGTTTGGATTCTCATTATTCCCACAGATTGACAGAAGAATTACTGTTATTTAAGCATTTATTAAAAAAGCACCTTATTGATGTCTACTCACCATTCACATCATTAAACATCCATTTTGACCAAATATAAGAAACAAGGACCTGTTTCAGCAAGAAATTCATGGATCGGTTAAATCAGGCCAACTTTTCGTAAGTACCACACTGTTTCAAAGCAGGACCTTTCACGCTTTCAGAAATACTTTCATAAGCGTGGTATATACAATACGTCGAAGTTTACAGAACCAGGATGGACATTTGCAATGTCAATGCTACTATTCTCTTCTGAAATTATCTCCGACTTCAAAAGTAATATTCCAGAACATATTCCCCTAACTATGTAGCATTTTGAAGCAATTAAATTTTCTTTAGGAGATTTGTTCGTTCAACGATATGGACAAAGTTTATTTGCATCAAATGATTCTATTCTATGACAATAATTTCCAAAAGGAATAATAAACAGAGTAAACTATCTCATTTCCTCCGCCTCTAGGAAACAACGAGCTAAGAAGCAAACATTTTCAGAGACAACAAACAGCTGCAACATACTGCAACATAGACCACAAGATGGATTTATAAGTGTGGCATAATTCCAGGTTGAGCACAAATGCACGAGGCAATTCATATTTGCATTCTAGAGAGACTGATACGGTGGACCACACGTTACTTACCTGTTAGAGAACCATGATCTGTGTGCCATCCACACCAAGATGACATAGGATCATTATCTTGTTTACTTGTACTGCAAAAAAGGGTCAAAATCGGGTCATTCTATATCTGCAACTGCAGTGGATACTGCGATATAAAAATACAAGCCGTAGCTCTCTTGATCCTACAGAAGAAAGCAATTAGACTCTCTGACCAGTGAATATCCTTCTAAGACAATCTAAAATGCTTCATAAAGTAAGTGGCTCATAAGAAAGGGGGGTAGAGGAAAGCAAGACACAGCTCCTTAAGTCTACCTTATCAATCCATTTTTCTTCAACTGGATGACCTAAAATTCTTCTTTATGCATCACAGCAGACAACTAAAAGAAAATTATGACTGTTGAAAGGTACAAGAGCATCACTGCTACTTGGGTATACAGGTTAATACCTATTTTCACACAGATGATAATAAGCTATCTAATTGAGTCTTCAGCTGATAAAAGAATAACCCATATGGAAAGCAACACAAATAAGGTGATAGATCTTATCATCTTTCATGCAGTGGAAACACTAAAATGTTACTAGACGTGCTCACAAACATGAAAAACAAATGCAGGCTTGCAGTATCAAAAAAATCTGGAGAACTGCCCACTGATGGAGCTATTCAACTGTGATAAGACACATAAAACTCACCTATCTTTTGCTGGGAAATAATACAGCAAGCGACCTTTATGGCAGCGAGATCGAGAAAGTGTCTGCTCCAGGCCTTCATCACTTTGCTTTTTCATCCCTTTTGCAACTGTTCAAGTCCCCATCCAGATGTTAGGCTCTCAACTTATTAGCAAAACATAAATATGGGTGAACAAGTGAGAATTAGAGTAGTTACTAAGTCAAATAAGTCATGGAGCAATTGAGACCTCTTTTTAGGTGGAATCCATTTGAGGTATGAATAATGCTTTAGCATTTGGTAAGAAATTTGATAATCCACATAAGAATCTTGATTTAAGAGACAACTTATTAGAACAGACGATCAATTTCCACTCAAGCTTAGAGTCTTTCTTCAAGGATCTATCATTTTCAATCGCTCTCAATTGGACCTTTGGACCAGGAAATATCTTAGTTATGTTTCATGAAGTACTTTATGCAGCGTGTCAACAATACCGGATACAACTCATATTAGCTTTCTCAGACTGACAAAAAACAGACTAGTCAATATCATGGTAATTATTTTGTCCCTGTGATCCATCAAAATGAGTGCTATCAGCAATTGTCTTATTAGTGGCAGAGCAGAGACTTATTAGAGAACTACCAAAAACAATGAAGACGAAATTAGTGCAGGTCATATTTCTTAAATCAATTTCAACAGCAACACCAAAATGAAAGTTCACAGGTAAGGAACTTACCATATTGGTCGCAGTGATAAGCCACCATCAAACCAATGTCAAGGATCAGCTTTGCAAGAGCTTTGAATGCTACAGAGTAGCAAGAGGGCATCAGGGATCAGATAACCAAACAAAATAATGTACCAACTGCAACTGAAAACTGACACCGATTGTGGCTAATATATTATGGAATAATGATTTTCGCTTGGGACTGGTCATGCAACAAATCAAGCCAATGTAAAATTGACCCTTCATTATCAACTGTATAGATCTTGAGAAAAGGCAGTAAACTCTATCTGATAATGAGAGCAGTCATACCTAGTTCAAGTTCTGGTAGTGCCCTGGTAGGCCATATATTTGATCCGCAATATGATGGATAACTATAATAAAACATAACGCGAAGAATAATCACATTAAAATACATTCTTTAAAGGTGAATATAGACTATTTAATTTAGAAATACTTCAGCAACTCCAGCCAACTGAAGAAATTAAAATAGGACAAAGAAACCTGATCTGGAAGACCACTAGATTTTTTTTTAATACTTTAATATTGAAAAAATCCCTCCCCAACCACCTTTTTGGATCTATCCCAAGGAGTTGAAAACAAGCCCGAGCTTTAGTAAAGTTACTAGCGATATCCTTATTTTAGCACCAGACTAACCTAAAGAAGATGCACACTACTTCTGTTGACAAATGATACATGAGATATATTACAGGGCACCACATTAAATGAAGAAAACAACTTCTATTCTTCTAGTCCTGCAATTTCATTGTCATTCTCCAGAAAATGTTGTTTGAGGATTGGAGCTGTAAAATGACAAAATCCTAATTTTTGCAAATAACTGGTGAAAGAAGATCACGTCCTTCAAGTAACCAAAGATCATTCTCTTGCGCTTGCTAAAATTAATAACTTAGGATCGAGCTAGCTAGAACACCATATAGTTTAATGCCTTCCTTACTGCGTAATCAAAGATTCCTCCATAGTAGGTACATCCAGAAGTGGATTTGCATAGAAGGAGCCTTTCAACATATCTGCATTTTAGCAAGTAAGCTGTCAGCTGGTTTCTTGATACATTATGACAAACTTTCATACGACCTCACTTGAATGATTGAGTAAAAAAGAACAACTTAATTTCTAAGACACATGCTACTCAATTGATAGGCAATCGTTTCAGTGACTTCAAAGCAAGTCCCACATTCTTATAATAGATTGGTTTTTATTATAGAATGATACTTATAATTTAACTAATTGATGACATGAATGTTGCAAAACATAAACAAAACAAGTCTATAGTGCATAATGCAAATTTTGACCATCCAGGCTGGGTGTGTTTGTAGCATAATAAAAAGTCCTTTTTTGCTTTCCCATTAAAATTTGAAATATTATATAAATTTCAAAGAATAACGATATGATAGATATATATGTGATTCTACATGTTAATATTTGTATATCGTGAAAAGTTTTTCAAATTTTAAAAACGTCAAAGAGCATAAGCCGCAAGGTTCATATTAAGCAAATAGAAAAAACCAAAGGTCAATCCAAACAAACCCCAGCACTTGTATTTTCTGGAATTAGCCCAAACACCTAAGCTAAACTACGAGTAAATCTGCACTGGAGCAACCGGTCTTAAATATAAGATTTGCAATCCTTCAACTTGAACTATGCAACTCTATATACTATTGACAATGTTCCTACCTATTATCATATAGTAGAGATTGTACAAAATAAGATATCCAAGCAGCAACTAGACTTCAGTGCAGTCCCATTCAAATATCAATTCCTGTATTATCCGTTTTTGCTGAAAATTCCTGTATTATCACAACAAAGCAATTTACTACTGTTCTTGTTATTTTATTTGTCTTTCTTAAATGCATAAAAAATCTTGGAGGCTTCAAGATCCCAAGTAACTGGAGTAAAGCTTTCAACAGTGTTGCTTGTTTTCTTTCTCTTTCCTTGGAGATAGTAATATGCCTAATCAAAGTACCAAGGCCAATTCAAATGCCCCATCATTAGATTACACCAACTCAACCATTAAGTCCTATCTAGATAGACTTTTACCTTTTGCTTTTTGCTTAATCTAAATCTTGCCATGGAGACATTTTGACTTTTTCTTAACTTGAAACACCTGAAACTTTCACAATATATAAATGTTGACACATGGATCACATAGAATTTTTCATAATTGTTTAAAGTACTTTGGTGAGGAAGTAAACAAGTACTTTTTGCTTTAGCTTAAGTCTAAACAAACAGCCCTAAAATAGAATTTATTAGTAGGGGGTACCTGGTTTCCCAGATTCAAGCTTCTCCTTGCCATGGCTCCACCCATAATTATACCTACAAATACGTACGTAATTTCAGCCTAAGGAATCAAGCATAAAAAAGCAATCCAACATGAAGATGCTCCAACAACCTGGACATGAGAAGAAACTATCTAATATGATTTAATTGAATTCATAGAAGAAGTTGACCATCGAGTATGATACACAACTTTCACGCCACAAGACAATTCAGAGAAAACACACCAGATGATGGAGATGAAAACTACCAACACATCAATTGTTCCAAAATTGGACTGGAGAAAGGAAGAAAGGGACAGAGGGAGAAGGTATCATCAATTTTGCAGGAAGAGAAATTCTTTCTCCATTCTATAAAAAGATGTTACCCTTGACAGGAGAAATGAAGGAAAACGTCGTGTTCCTATACTCGACGTTATAGACAGGACAAGCATCTAAAACCATTCTCTAATTTTTGTTTTCCTTTCTCTTACACCAGAAATTATGAACTGAACTCCTTGTACTAATTACAGAACACTTTAGTGATTCTACGCTCATTTCCTCTCTCAAAACCACCAATAGCTGGTCTCTTACTATGCAATCAATTACCATAATGGTGATAGCAACAGGGACCTTGTGTAATCCAAATCTCCAGCAAACCATGAGAAATCAACAGTTCCAAGTTAATTAAAATAGCAATTGAATTTCATACTTTTTTACCACAAATCATTTTATTTTGCCTCGCGCACTGTCTTATTGACTTTCAATATACTTGCAGACCATATTAAAGTGAATCAGTAACAACAACACCACACAGTGAAATCATCTTTAGGCTCTCGTAAAGCACCAGATATGACTGAGTCAGAAAGTACATGTGTTTGGGTGTACTTTCGTAAAGCTGCATCTGCTTTGAACAGCTATAACAACTTCAATGAAAAGTTTGGAAAGCCTTAAAAAAGTAGACAGGTGCAATTCCAAGCAGTTAAAAGTTAATTTGTAAAAAGCAAGTTCCAACTCCAAAAATCCATATATAAAGGTCCTTTTACATAAATTCATTTTCTATTTTTTTCTTAACAACATACTGATCATCCACTTGATTAATAATTAGCAACACAGTCTAAGATCTCTTGCCAATTACAAAAACAGCTGCCATTATAGCACATTATAGCCAGTAAATCACCAAAATTTACAGCATTACTATAAAAAATATTTCCAGTAACAGATGCTCATAAGGCTTAAAACCAACATGGCCCTGAATGAAATCTATTCTTTCAACGATTAGGACAATGTATTAGCAAAAACTTTAAGTCCATTACAATGCAAAGAAAAATGCAACAAAAATCACTGAACAAAGTATGGTAAAAGTAAAAACAATCATGAATCTGTGTCTTTGAATAGTGAAGTTCCAGGTAAAATATAACCTATACGTAATACTTTCTACTTAAGAACCTTGTCCATTGGACAATGTACAGAATCTAGTTGTCAGCTCTATCTACCAAACTAAGCTATATGGGAAAGTGAAATCAATAATAGAAGTGAAGCAGACATTGATTTGTGGGAGCATATACTAACGAATTAAGATTTAAGAGACGTATAATACTTGGGAGGCATTCTCACGCATTACCTGCTACTGGGATCTTCAAGTTCTTTCTTCGTCTCCTCAGGAAGGTTGGCCAATCTTGCATAATAGATTAGAGAATAAGATCAATGAGATGAAATATAAATTATGACCTCAAGTATCTTCCCTCATAAATACAATACAATAATGAAGCAAACACAATCCTGTCTAAACTTATACCTTGGCGAAAGATGCAGAAGACTTTGACGCAATGATAGGTATCCAGGAACCTACACCGATACGGCAATGAAACTTAACGAAAGTTCTCAATATACTCTGGAAGGAATAGATGAAGCACAACAGAACACCGATGCAATATCTATGGCTGCGGCCTCAGCATAATACTTTGCCAGTTCAGACTAATTTACCCGCATACAAGGGCCTCCAAACTCAAAATAGTGTCAGTGACAAACACATGAAGTTGCACATACATATTCAATACAGGACAGCAAAGCACATGTACATGCATTACTGGTCACTGCCGAGTGCGAACAACCATGATTCAACAACGATTGATCCTCAGCAATTCATTCCGAACAAACTTGAGCGCACACTAGCAGACCTTGTCGTTAGATTTCTAGAACAAACACAGTGCATCTAAAACCAATCCCCTAACCAGCACAGCAACCTAAACATCCAAATCAAGCCACTCAATTCAGACTGAACCGTGACACGTCGATACGTCACCGGTACATGCACAAGCGCACACTCGAACGCCTGAAGTAAGAAAAGACAAAGCACGAACTAATAGGAAGACGAAGAGGAAGAAGATCGTCCATACGTCCGAAATCGATATGATCCCGAGGCCGTTCGGTCCAAATCCTTGCTCTATCTTCAGCGACAGATCAGCATCCCTGTCCTGCTCCGACAGCCGAAACCACAACGCAACAAAATCACGCCCCTACCTACAGGAAAACCATGGAAAAAGGACAAAGCGAAGGAAGAAGTCCGCCCGCGAGCGGCCACGGAATCAGCGTACGATCCCACCTTGATGTCGGAGTAGGAGATGGTGACGGGGCGGACGGCAGGGCAAGCGGCCTCCGGCGAGCAGGACATGGTCACCGGAGTTGGCGGCGGTCCGGCGGCGGCGGGCGGCGGGCGGCGAGGCGAAAAGCGCGGGAGGGAATTGGATTCTCCGAGAGGGAGGAAGCGCGAGCGATGTTATGGTGGAAGGGAACGAAGCTGCTGGGGGAAGTCAAGGGAAGTGTCAACGGAGATTCAAATGCGAGGGAATATATAAAAAGCATCGAATTTTTTTGGACGTACACGCAGGGTTGGCCATTCTTTTTAATACTTATGCCTCCTTAAATTTTAATTTAATTTAAATACGACGTACTTTTTTTTTTTTTGAGGGGCGAGGGTATTGGAAATCGTAAAGCTTGTCACTTAAGTGCAATTGAACCATAAAAATTTCAAAAAGTATAATTAAATCTTAAGACTTGTCACGAAAGTGCAATTGAGTCCTAAAACTTTTAAAAAGAGCAATCAAGTCCCAAAACTTATCGAATTGATCAAATCAAGTCTTTCCATTGATCGAGTTTTTTGAAAGTTTTAGGATTCGATTACACTTTCGTGATAAGTTTTAGCATTCGATTGCACTTTTCAAAAATTTTAGGACTCGATTGTACTTTCGTGAGAAGTCTTAGGACTTTCTTCGTACTTATAAGATGTTTTGACTAAACGCGGTGTACGTGGGAGGGGACGTTTATTTAATTGTATACTCCACCATCGGTGCACGTAGGAATTATTTTAAAGCTTGATAATGACTCTAGTCAGGGCGGGTGGCTAAGATTGGGTTTTAGTATATTATCACAATTTGCAGATATTAATATAGTAAGTAGTCATCTATTGTCTCAATATCGAAAGGGACAGATGAATTCTCAATTTTTAAAATCTCCTTTGTTCATTTTATTTTTTGTTCCTATTTAATATACTTTAAGTTTCACACAACTATCGCTTTCCATGCCTCTGCCGTTGAAAAACCGGTTTAATCTTTGGAGACTGCTTTGTACCTTCACATCAATTATATTTTATATCGCTATTCGTGAAAATACCATTATCTATTTGGGTAAATACCGCGAAAAATCTCAAATTGATACACCCATGACAAATCTACAACAGACTAATTTTTGGATCACCAAAAACCCCATATTGATATACACGTGATACATTTACACTCCATGAGCTTCTGTCAAATTTTACCGTGAAATTCCTGAGCTAGATGATACATGACAATAACTCAAATGACATGGAAAGTCCATGATTTCCCAATTTGGCTAAAATTTCACAAGTGCACCGATTTTGAGTTATTAGTTTGTGGAAATTTTGTCACAAGTATGCCAGTTTATGGATTTTGATGACTCAAAAATTAATTTAAGGTAAATTTCACACAGGTATAGTAGTTTGGGGTTTATCATGGTATAAACCCTTTTCTTTTAAAAAAAATGCCAATCTTCGGTCCTAAATGAATTTCCTAAAAACCAAACTAGTCAACCCTAAGCAAGATATTGAAATGAATTTCCTAAATCATCATGCCTATCCAAAATACTCAAAACCGACTAAAAACCAAACTAGTCAACCCTAAGCAAGATATTGAAATGAATTTGCAAAGAGAGGTATGTGGATGATATTTGTAAAAGATATATGTAACTGATCATTGGATAAAAAAAATCAAGCATGTTTCCACATATTTTCATGCAAAAAATATTTTGCTGGTGCATTCGTTTCACGAAAAATCAATGATTTGAAAAACATTTTAAAAAAAATGACCACCTATATCGCTTATAAAAATAAATGAACAAAACATATTATTATCATATATGAAATTGTTTTGACTTAAATTGTTATCTGACGATAAAAATATTTTTCATCGATTAATTATTTTTAAAATTATAACCACTCATTTTTTTTAAATATTTTCCGAATCATTGCACCCTACCTTTCACGTAAGCTCCAAATAAGGGAAACGAAGTGGATTTGGCGCCTAACTTTAGCAACCTTTTTGCACCAGCACTACCTACTCATGTCGTCGCTGAAGCAAATTCTAACTCATGAGCGTCACGTAACGAGCCTCTTACAATGAGAACAAAAACCAAAGAAGAACAGTCCCTGAAGCAATTCCAACTCACGAGCGCCAAGTAACCAGCCTTGACAATGACAGCAAGATCAAAGAAAAAAGAGTCCATCCCTGCCAATCGGAAGATAAACGTTTTCTGCAGCTCGAACCGATCGCTCTCAAATGGAAAAGAAGTAATTATTGACGCGGGATAGGATAGCCCCGGTTCGATGAGACAAGGCCACTTGCTACACAGACCCGACGTTGATTTAAGGACCTAGAATAAATCGCAATACACGTTGCACTGTCCTAATTGCTAGTCGTGAAATACCCGCGAAATCCTCCAAGGACCGAGCCATAAATGGCGGGTGTATCGGTAGTGAGTTTTGGCAGTCTAAAGTTGCATCCTCTAACTCCAACTGAAGGCAAAACGTAAAAAGCTACAGCCCCATCACATGTTGAAGGGTAGAGAATGAGCACATAGGACTTCTTATTCCTCAGCATTTGCAGCAGTTCTAGTTATTCAACTGCAGGGCAGAGCTCCAACTCTCAAGTCCTCGACCCCTTGGCCCAGCGGTCCGAAGAGAGAGTCCACCTCGCGATGATCGACCTCGTCCAAGGTCGGAGGTTGCCATTTTGGTTTCTGCAGAAACAACCATCATTATAACTAGGGATGCATTCATATAACCACGAAGAAAAGTTTCTCATGAAAAAGTTTGTTTTTAGCAGAAAAGCAGACGATGGCAAGAAGATAACGGAGAATTTGCATGTAAAGAATCTTGACACATCAAAGGAATACTAGAGAAGTTTCTATGGCCAATTCAGATCCATCCTCTTCCAATAAGGAGAAGCCACGATGATCTGAAAACATTCGATAATTATAAGAGGGTTTTTATTTTATTTGACTCGCATACTATGACTGATACCCAAAGATTACGATCATGCATATAGATATTGAAGTAGATTTTATCAACTGATAATTTCATCAACCTACATGACCAAAAGAAAATAAGAAATGGTGTACAAGAGTAAGGACTGAACCTGATCCTTATCCACCAAAACTGCACGGACACCTTCAGCAAAGTCATTTCGAAGCGATGACCTCAGGGCAATGCGATATTCAGTTTTCATCACACCGCTTAGCTGGAAATAGTGGTTTAAGGAAGAATTTAACATTTTATTCCACCAAATTATCATTCTGAAATCATTTAAAGTTGCAGGCAAAAGAATAGAACACGGATGCTCACTCACAGTTGATAAATCGCTGTCTCTTTTCCCAAAGGCTGATGCAACTCTAGAGAAATAGTTTTGTGTTAAGCAAAGAGAGAAAGGAGCTCCTTTTCCCAGACCCTGAAGAGCATCACTAGCCCACTCAACCACTAAATAGAGAACAATGAGATATTAGTGTTACTAATTGACCCAATAAAACCATACTTAAAACTTCGCCCAATCATAACATAGAAAAGGTATTGGGTAGACAGAGCAATGTAAAGTCAATGGTTAATATATCCCCAGTTAATATCTAGGGACCGGAATTGTGTTACCTTTGGGTTCGGGATTCAGTTTATGCCTTTCCAGGTCTTTCATTATCTCAATAACAGATTTATTTGCACCAAAGCAAGAAACAATATGAGGCAAAAGCAATTTTAATTGAGCCTCTGATTCGAGATCTCCACTGTATCGTGCCAAAAGTGTTTCAATATCATCATAAGGATCGCCAGAACTGCATCAATCGTGCAAAAGAACTTTCTTTAGAGCCACTAACATAAACCAACAGGAAAGTCAATTTGTCAATTATCAAATACAATAGAAATATTCTCTTGGTCTTCTTCTGTTGTTTTTTTCCTTTTTTCCTTTGTTTACCTGATGGTGGCATAACTCATCTTCAACATCCTATACAAGAAAAACCGGCTATGCTAGAGAGATACACCGCCATGACATGAACATGTAAACCACCTTAAACTTCATTTCAGGTAGTGAACATAATGAAGCAGCGCCTTTGAACATTGCTAATTTTGTAGATGCCAGAATGAAGAGAACATTAAAAGCTCGTGTTAAAAAATTCAGAGAGGGGGATGCGATGCCGTATGTATCATCAATTCCAGAGCGAGAGAAGATTATCAAAGAAGATTGCTAACTGAGCAGCTCCTTACAAGGAATTTGTTAAGAGGGCCTCCTTCAAGGAACCTAGTTTTCCAGATGGCACGTAGTGTGTTCCCAGGCCAACATATAGTGCATCAGAGGGTGTTGAGATCCTACTTCCAGTCATTCCAAGATAGGCACCTGTAAGTTACAAAATATAGACATTTTAAGCAACTGCAATGATGGAAAGAATTAGTGAAGAGATAACAATAAACCCTATGGCCAGTCCCCACAATCATTGGAGCTTAGCATGATGAACTGACCAAACAAACCCCTATTTTATGAGAAGCACCTGTTTTAATTATGCCGTCATATATTTCCACTGGTCAAAGTCAACAAAAAGGTCTATTCCCAAAAAATGGCAGTCAGACATATTGGACACCACAAACCATTGGAAGAGAAGGTTGACATATTGTAAATCTTAATAAATGAGAATCTGATGAACTACTGTTGATGATAACATCCTTTAGAGGACGACGAAAATGTCATCTGATTTCAGTTTTCCGTGGTCAAAATCATCCATGTGAGATCCCTTTTATAACTTCATTGACCAACTTCTTTGCCCACTGAATATGCTCCTAACTCAAGAAGACACAGGTCACTCGATTTGTCAGATCACTTACCAACTGATCCTCCTCCAGGACTTTTAGCAGCTATATATGAGAATCCCACATCTGGAAAAAGACCGATCCCATTTTCTGGCATGGCCAGAACGGTCCTCTGAGATCATCATGATTTGACAATGTCAAAGAAGAATCTGACTTTTCAAACACATGTTAAAACAAACTTAGCATAAAACTAAACACATACCTCTGTTACTACTCGAAAGCGGCCATGACCAGACAGGCCGATTCCAAATCCCATGGTGATACCATCCATAAAGCATATGTATGGCTTCTTGTACTCTGATATTTTGCATATCAAGGAATATTCTGCAGTGAACACCTGAATATAACGCTAGTTATTAACTGCAGGCACTGAAAAAACATGTGATACAAAGGCAATATGAGGATAAAAACCGCATCTCAGAGATTAGCCATACTTCAAACCATTGAGAAGTAAATAGAAAACAAAATAGCGCGATGTCAGATGGATTCACGAGTGGAAGGGGAAAGTTCTTTAGAAAACAGCACATACAAAGAGAATTTGTGAAATTACACAGCAGGAAAGGTGTTCCAGTTTCGAAACATGTCACGTGATGTGCAGATTGACATGACTGCATTTTCCTGTACATATATTGACAGAGATCAAAGTCTCATTAACATTCTTTTGGAACTAAAATGCTCTTCTTTTCTATTTGCAAATAGTGTTGCAACTATTGACCAAAAACTATAGTAGAAGGAAGCATAGGAAAACAATCCTGAATATAGCAAACAGAAGGAGGGGCATAAAAAACAATATAAACCTAACTACAATGCAAGCTGAAAATCTTTTTGCACAACTTTGGACATAACAAATTCCAGCTTCATCAAAAGGCACTTCCTTCCATAGGCAAAAAATTATTGAATTCGTTCCAACCTCTGCATACCACTCATACAGTCAATGTATGGCTGGCCCTATCCTGTTGGAATTACACATTTTTCAGTTGGATCAAACTCATAAATGTTTGAATCATTTCAATCTTTTTCTGATGGTTTCAAAGGTTATAACAAGGTCTAACATCAGGTTTCCTACAGTGAATGCAAACAGATAGGAACACGTGTATTACTAGGAGCAGGAATGCAATCACATAGGTTAAAAATTGCTGCAGACTGCAGAGATCGCAAATGTGCAAGAGGATATAACAAAACCTCAATCACATCTGACAACTGCTTTTTGGTTGTTATTCGCTTCACATCACCACCTGCAGATAAACAGAGTTCTGCGTAATTGTTTGAACAAGCACCATCCAAGCAATTCAAGTTGGCAAGTAGCAGGAGAAAGGATTTGTGACACATAGACCAATAACCACGCCTTGGGAAGGAAAAAGGCCCAACCAGAGAGCACAAAAAAATTGTCAACACGAACTTATTCAAATCATCAACCATGTAGAAAAGAGTATTACGGAAAAGCACTACCAGAAAATGTTTGCACAACTATTATCCTTTTAGGCATTATCATCAAGACCACCCCTCACCTGACGTATTAAGGTAAATGAAATTCCAATGACGAATTACCTAGGAAATAACCTAAGAGACAAGACTACATAATGCCCACTGGATAAGCATCCCAAGAAAGATAGAGTTCATCACACCGCCAAATTAAGGGAGAAAAATCCTCTCCAGGTTACCTGCGGAGAAAGCGCGAGGTGAGCTGCTCTCCACCAGGACACATTTCACATTCGGATCGGATTCCCATAGGTCAAGAAAGCTTGCGTACCTCAAATCCATATCTGCATCAAAAGTAGCTCCAAATCATAAGATCTACCAGGAGAGAATGTTAGAATTTAGAAACGTCAACTTTCTTTTATAAGAGTAGCTTAAAACATCTGGAGAACGCGGTCATTGCTCATACCACAATTTATTATTCTTATTTGGGTCCTTGGTGGAAGTCTGCTAATCCAACCTCAAGTGGACTCCAGAATTCAAGCCCAACAACATACCCAGTCGGATCCACATACACTCGCACCTCATCGGCTTGATAATTACTAGTAAAAATTAAGATCAATCTTATTCTTGGCAGGCCAATGCACTTAAAAGTAGACCGCCTGCTCCCTGTAATGAGACATCGGACTTTGCCAGAGAACCCAACAATGTCCAAGGAATAACTGACAGGATGCTGTCCGAACTTCTTCATTTCACAACAAGGACAGTGAAAACTTGCGCCACAACAACATATGAGCTAATCATGCCTCTCAACTACAAACGTAACCGGTAATTACGCAGCTGCATTGCTTCGCAACACTAAACAATTACAACCAAACACATGCAAATGATCAACAAAACGTCACGACCATTGACCCACCATTCCCTAAAGTCGTGTCACACCTCAAAACATAAAACCAAAACGAAAAGAAGCACTAGCAGTCCCAATTCGAGAGTACCGAGGTTCATGGCATTGAGGGCCTTGGGACGGTCGAGGGTAATGACGGCGACGCCGTTCGGGTGCACGGAACCTCGGACGAAGTCCTCCGCCGCCGCCGCAGCAGCCATGGCCTCGAAGCTCCGGCGAGGGGAGGAGAAGCTGAGAGTGTCGAGGAAGCGAGTTGAGACCAACGACGATGTGCCCAACAAGCGAGAAGCCCCGACCAGGCTTCTCATCACGCTCGCGCTCGGAGGAGGGTGGTGGTCCAGCTAATCAAAGCCGCCTCGTTATTCACGCAGCATTGATGCCGGAAGAGTAGGAGCGAGAGCCCACGAGCGACAGGCGGTAGGTGAACAACCAGCCATAGCTTATAACGTCGTCCAAAAGAAATTCACAAAATTGGTCTCTAAAGTTCGTCCTAATTTATAATTTCTATCTCTGAATTTTTAATTTATTCGATATATTTGATGGAATACCTGACTAGAAAAAGTTTCATAATTGCAGTGACGCAAGCTGTAGCTCACTGTAAGCATATGAGTTTTGCGATAATTGTTCTCTTCATGGGTCCTGTGATTGAGGGATGTACTGTAGCAACTGAAGTAGACATTGTTCATCACCGTAGAAGTTACTATTCAGCATTGTAGCAACTGTAACAGTACTGTAGCAAGTTGAAAATGCAATGATGTCTTTTTGTTTTGCATGTTATTTGATTGTATGCTGAGTTTGATGTTTAAAAGTGATAGATTTAGCGTATCCATCTATTTTAGAAAAAGAAAAAAATAAAATTAGAGCGCCAACATGCCCATCGTTATTTGATGGCGTGGATTGTTATATCCTCATCTGAGATGGATATCTCGTGTGGATAATCTCCATATAACCTCTTTTTCTTAGTCTATTATTTAAACTTAACGCATTGGAAGCCTAAATCAGCAAATTTCGTCAACTTTAATCAATCAGAAAGGATGACATTGAACAATTTCATATAATTTAAGGACTCATATTGAATAAATTAGAAGTCCAGGGATGACGTTGCACATTATATCAAATTTCTTGGATCCTTTATGTCATTTTTGTTATGTCATAAATATTGCTTGATCAGCTGAGAGAGTTTATTTAGTGGGTGAGACACCACGTGAAAGGGCCCAAGCTTGGTCAGCTGAGGCAGCTTACCAGGCCCTCATTGCTATCGGCCCAACCTGGCCCAGACCAAGGTTGTCAGGCCCATCTTAAAAACCAGGCCCAAAAGAGGTGAAATCAGGCCCAATCAGGCTTGATCCACAAGAGTCAGGCCCAACCGGGCATGGTTTTGTCTTCAAATTGCCGAGTGACTCCCTCCACCGTCCGGTCCAAGTTTGCACCTTCAAATCCGCTTCTCCATCTGGTGAAATCTTGAACTAATTCCCCTCATTTCAGTTGTGTAACATCACATAATTAGTTGAATAATTAGATGGTTATGAAAACTTAATTTGGCGGTTAGTCCGTGTTTTTTTCTTTTTTTGGAGGGAAATTTGGATTCGATTTTTCGGGGCAAGTCCTAGAGAGTGCTGTAATTAGGGAGTCCTAGGTGAGTTTTAAGAAGGGAGAAGGGACGAGAGCAAAATTACATAGAGAGGAAAACATCCGTCCGGGAGTCGGAACGGTGATTACGTCACGCGCGGCCTCACGAAATCGACAAGGGTGCATTCTGTTCGTTGCCGTTAGGGAGAACGCGACGAAACACGGTTCTTAGAGGAGTCATTCATTGGAAATGCAGGGGTTCACCTTTCATTCCGAATTCGTGACTTGTTTGATAGTCCGGAAGTCAGGTATACATTATTCACTTGCTACGTTTTGCTTTGTGAGATTTTGTGGGATCCTTGTCAACTGTTTTAAAAGTTTAAGCTGTTAGAGAAGGTAAGGTGTGGTTTAATATTTAAATAATTTATCACTCATCTTCACACATAGTCTGGTCCTTTTGCCTAGTACTAAGCGTGGATATATTTTATTGGGGAGGCAAATGGGGTCCGGAAAGATTTGAACTTTTGTGGGACCATTGCCAACTGTTCTAAAAGCTTAAGTTATTAGAGAAATGTGCGGTTTAATATTTAGATATTCCATTTGTGGAAGACGAATAACATGGAAAATATTTTTCATTAAAATGATCGCTCGTAACGCTTGAAACAATTAGTCAATAAAAATATTTTCATTATCGGCAACAATTGATGCTTGTACATTTTCGTGGACGATGAAAAATATTTTCCGTCCGTTTTTTTTTGTAAGCGATACAATATATTGTTCCGTAAAGCCTTCTTCATCTCTTAGTTGGTGATTCTTGTCCGCATCTCTTAGTTTTCAGATTGGATTCCGGTGACGATGGGTTCCGGCGAGCCGGGAGTCCAATTTGAGGTGGGCGTAACTGGTTTCAAGGACGCAGCTTTGGTTCTAAGGTCGATGTTCTGAAGCTGGGTTTCAATCTGTATTTGAGGTTTGGGTGTGTTTTTTGAGTAAGACGGTCGAACGCACGCTAGTCCAGGTTTCGACTGGTTCGACGTCGTTGTTGAAGTTGAATGCCCTCCCTCATGCATGGCTCTCCAAATTGCTAACCCTACCTCCCCGTGAAACCCTAGAAGCGCAGGCGCCGAATGCGGGCGGCGTCCGCTGATGCGAGGCACACTCAATAGCCCTCGTCTTCGTCCAAGAGGAAGAGCCCGATTGGGGTCGTGCTGGACGTCCCTCGCGCCATTTGGCGGCGGTCGTTGCGCCCGCGGAGCGATCATGGGTTCAATCGGAGAAGCATCTGGGAAGGTGGAGTTGGGTTGTTTCTATGTCATATGTATATCGTGTAATAATTTCGAATTTGCACATAAGCAAAATACAATCAACTTCATAAAAATCAAGCATACCCAAATTAAGGAATTACTAGATAAAACTTTGGGAAAATTGTTCAAAAATTCCTATCCCTATTGTACTTTTGCCAATTCAGTTATAAACCTTTCAATTTTGCCAATTGAGTCCTTTTACGGCGGCTCTCGTCTGAGGCCGGCGACCTCCGCTTGTCATCAACGAGGCATGGCGGTGGCGGTGGAGGGAAAAAGGAAAAAAGAAAGAAGAAAAAGAAAAGAAGAAAAAACGGAAAAAAGAAAAAAAAGGAAACATAAAAGATTCGAAAAAATATTAAAATATTATTAAAAATTATCCATGTCAGCGCTTGTCGTGCCACGTAGGATGGCTATCATCCATGTTAGCAATTTCCGGTCAATTTTGGCCGGATGGACTCAATTAGAAAAAACGTGAAAATGTTTAGGATTAAATTGACAAAATTGAAAGGTTTAGGATTGAATTGGCAAAAATGTAATAGATTTAGAATTTTTTGGTCAATTACACGATGGATGCATTACATGTAATTCAATCCTCAAGACCAAGGGTCCATACACAACCAAACTCAAACCAACTATATTTACACAACCTCTACATCTATACACAACTAGTAATTAAACAATACCAAACCGAGCAAGAAACACATTACCATACACTCCGTTATCGTACATATTCATAACTATCATCGCTAGCAACATCACAAGTGAAGTTGGGCAATCCAAGGACAGATTTATTATTCAAAACCCGACTGACCGGATCTCAATCACAACCCTGGTCGACCGGTCCCCTTGACCCGGTCGATGCGGGCACGTCCTCTCCGCTGGGAGCATCGAACCCCAGAGCTTGGTGGAGCACATCGAGGAGCTGCTTGTGCGCGGTCAGCTGGGGGAAATGCCCCGTGCCTTCGATCATCTCCACAGTCGACAGCCCCGAAATCTTCTCCTTCATGTAGTGAGCGACGGAGGTCGGCACAGCCATGTCGTTGGTGACCTGAATTATGGTACACGGCGTGGTCACATCCGCGAGAATGTGTCGGTAGTCGGAGTGGAAGATGGCGTTGGCCAAGGATGCTGCCACTTCGGGCTTCATGCTGTGCAAACACCGTCGAAATTTATCGACAGAAGGCGGGTCTTTGGGATCCACGACTGCAGGAGTGAAATTCTCGACCCATTCTTGATAGTTCGATCGGATGCTTGAGACCATGTCATCTATACGCGACTCTTCAAACCCACCCACATAGTCACCCAAGTTCAAGTACCTGTTTTAGGTGTATTGACATTGGCGAAAAAGCATTAGGAACTTGCAAGAGGATGGAGAATTAACATAATAGTGAACCTTCATGCTCTTCTTCATGCTTTTGTTTTGTATTAGTATAAGGTTTTGTACAGCTGAAGCATTACCCAAAGAAGCTTCCTTCTGTATTAGTATAGTCTGTTAATTATATGATCAAAAATATTTTTTCAATGCAAGATAGGGAGTCTCAATAATTGATGTTCTTAGCTTGGGACAAAAACAGTAACAAATTCGGCCGGCTGATACTGTTTTCTCTTTCAATTGATTATTAAGAGATTAAGTATATTGAGATCATGTCTGAAGTCAAGATACAGATGCATTAACATATTGTGCTATAACAAATTAAATGGTATAAGAAAGGAAGGCTTACAATAAATAATCCAGTTCTTCATCTTGTCAACATAATTTAACAACCATAGCTTAAAAGTCAAGGACAAGGCAAGACAGATATGGCTAAGTAGCCAGTACACACATACAATAGTTTGTCAGTTTAAGAGAAGTCATCAGATGTAAAGGCTTCTTAAAGAGCGAAGTTCCCCCTAAAAGAGCTCCAAATAGTTTCAGTTCAAACGAGAAAAGATGAGTAGAAAGAGGGGCTATTAGAAGAGATTAATCATTGGGTTAGAATCATATCCTATGCTGATACGCTGTATCAATGCTTTCTTTTGAACGCGTTACTGTTTGTTGACTATGGAACTGAACTCTTAGCATTTGATGAAGCATCACATGGTTCTTCGTTTTCTCTATTTTCAACCTTTTACTTTTCTCTATTCATGTCAGCTTCTTCTCCATCGAGCCAACAGTACAATTTGCAGATACTTTCGGAGAAATGATTAGGACGAGAAAAAGCAGAAATCAACGGAAGTAGGCAGAAATTTTATGATAAAATTGTTAGTGAGAGGGAGAGTTAATGGCTGACAACACAAATTCCATAACAAATGACACGTAGCAAAAATACAATTGTCAGAATTATTAAATACCAATCAATTTAAGCTTTTTCAGAATAGTCCATAGTGATCTTACAAAATTTTACATAGTATCAAAGCAAAAAATCATTAGTTCAAATCTTTCAAGTCCCCTTATTATATTTTTGCACTTTTAGTCTTTGACTCAAGCTTATATGTGAGGGGAAGTACTCGAATATTAATATATTAAATCATTCCTTCATATATCAATTTAAACTTTTGAAACAGTTGACAGTGTTCCCACAAAATCTACAAATATCATTTCATGTAAAAGATGGATAAAAACTATTGATAGGCGATTCGAAACATATGGAATATAAGAACATGCGCGAAACAACTAGGCTTTTGACTCTACATTCAGACGATTTTAGTACGTTAATTGGAGGAAACTCCAGACTCCAGACTTTAACTAAAGAAATAAAGTCGGAAGAACCAAAAAAAGAAATGACCCTATTGAGTTCCAATGCAAGAAAGTGTCTCATGTGCTTTTATCCAAAAAAAAAAAGGAGAAGAGATCACTTAACAGTGAAGGAATTAGATTGAGAGACACCATCAATGAAAGCTCTAGTACTACGAGTCATAGGAAAGAGGGTGCTGCACCTTGGAGAGGCAAGAAGTAGTATGAGCCTCTGAAAGAGCTCAGGTCTCTTGATGGAGGCAATGCATCCGATCATGCCGGACATGGAGTGCCCCAGAAAGATAACCGATTTTAGATCCCACTCGTCGAGGAGCGCGATGAGGTCGTCAGCGTACGCGTCGTACGTGGAGTACTTCGCGGGGTCAAAGAGGTTCTTGTCTTGGACGGCGCCAGAGAAGCACCAGTCGAAGGAGAGGACCTGGTAGTGCTTGGCCAAGGAAGGATTGATCTTGTCCCAGAGAGACTGGTCTCCTCCAAAACCATGTGCAAGGACTATGGTTTCATTGCCTGAGCCTACGGTTCTGGCATTCATTGATGACGAGAGGACCTTTTCTGAGACAGCCATGAGAGAGAGAGAGAGAGAGAGAGAGAGAGAGAGAGAGAGCGGATATGGTAGAAATGGCTATTGTGTGTGTTGGGTCTCTTAATAAAGGGGCCAAGCTGAGGAGATTTTACCTTGTAAGCGATATCATATGTTGCTGTTATTTTGGCCGTAATGCTAACGTGACAGCAGCTTATTCATTGTCCATGACCAAACCTCAATTCATGTGGAAATATTCAAGTTGGGTATTGAAGGAAAGTTCAAAAACAATGCGTGGACTTATCATATGACAATGGTCCAGCGATAAAATGATCGGAAATTTGCACGAGGAAGAGCATGAGGTCTCGGTTTTGATCCTAAATCAATCGGCACATCACAACCCCAACCCGGATGGCATAAAGTTCCATCACACACCAAAGACTGTTTTGCTTTTGTCTTTGTTCTCAGGCTTGTAATCGCATTTGTACTTTGCTTTGAGCAATAAAGATAATTAGAAAAATCATAACAGAAGAGAAGTGTATTGTGGGCAAAATGCTTGTTGAATATGTGGCGAGCAAAGCCCTCCATGATCTCGAATTCTAAATTGTCTCAAAGTCAAAGCGAAGTTTCATTCATCATCCATTGATGTAAGAGCGACAATGGACATCCCTTCCCTTCTATTAAACTAGTATTGACCTACTTCTTGGCTTGAATCTTCGAACTCTCTCTTGCTCGCTTAGCCTTTCTTCCATGCTGACTTCGGCATCGGAGGGTCTATTCGAAGACCAAATCTAAATACATCTCACCTGGAAGGTTTACTGCTCGCGGTGTGCAGGATCAAAACCGGACTCCAAGTCAACCAATCCGCATGGCAGCAGACATAAATAATAATAATAGGAAACTGTTTTTCATGATCCGAGACAAGAACCCACTTTTGATCTTTGCTTTTGTGACAAAACTCCACTTTTTTGGGAGGCTAAGAAGGACAAGATTCTTGCATGCATAGTTGCAAGTACAACGAAACAACTGCTTCAAGCTAAGATCAAATGAATATTGGCTAAAGATTTCTCCACGTTTAGATGGTAAATTCTCTTTTGGTGATGCTAGTCTTCAAGATTAACACCAAAATTTTGACATAGGACATGCAAATCCCCATTTAGATATCTCTTGTTAAAGGTTCTCTTAGAAACACTCTATATTGGGGTTGACAATTTGTGCGAGAGAGTCACATATGTGCACAATTCGAAGTGTGAGCTATATCATTTTCAATTAAACAAATGTAGATGAATGCAATCCCGCTTTGCCGTCCCTAAAGTCGGTCACACCTCTCATGGAAAATCAAATTCGTGTTTGAGAAATTCGTTGTCTAAGTATACTAGAACAAAAGATAACAAAGATTTTGTTTAGACCTAAATTGGTTCCAATCAATATGGTCTGGTATAGAGCCAAATTATTCTCACCTAGTGTTTGAATGGTTGAATGATATCGCAATGTATACGAAAATAAATTAATGTTCGGCATGGTAATTGGATCCTTTCAGGTCTCATCAGACCCATCTTGCGTGAAAATGCCTAAACCAACAATCGACCAAAAAATCTTGATATTCTGAGGAAGCTGTCAAAGTGATGAGAACCGCCGTATGATGTACGATGTTTCTGTGTGTTCTGTCATGACATGATTAACTCAAACAACCGACAGCCACATAGTAGTGCACTAAAATGGCTAAATGGGAATCACATTGAAATAGATGTTTGACCCCATGATATGTTGAATATGTGTGATAGTATCAGATTTTCGAGGTGACACTTCTAATTTTTGTGGACTAGATTCCACACTTTTTTTATCTTTCCTTTTCCTTTTTCCTCTTTGAAATGTCCTTTTACCCTCATTTTTTCTGGAGGACAAAAGGCTACGAAGAGCTTTTGATGGTCGGAGAACAAAAACCATATCAATAATTGGTTTGTGACAAAAAAAGAAAAGAAACTCTCATTTTTTGGAGCTGATGAGGACGAGATTCTTGCTTGGGTGTGTCCAAATGGAAAGAAGCTCAATATCCCCCAAGACTGAAATCAATGACGGAAAGTTCTATTCACAAGGCAAATTGTCTTCTCTAACTCACTATGGAGTGTCCGATATTATTGGAGCTAAATAATTATCATGAAAATTATAAACATTGAAGTTGGTTCACATTCCCCAAGTCTCATTTACTACTATTTTTGAGTCGCTCCACCCTCATTGGGGAGCCTTACGCACTCCATGACTTTTTCGTACCCTACATCTTGATTCAGAAAGATCAAATTCAGAGCATATGTGCGGGAAGTTCAATTACGAACCCGAGTTCTCGATGCGGCTGCTAGACATCTTTAGACGAAAGAGTGGTTTTTCATGAGAATCTCATGACCCCCATCCCTCGATCTGGAGGTACTCTTTTCTACTCGTTCCGCTCTTGCCTCCGTCCTACAGGGAAGCTTTCTTCGGGATTAACCAATAAGGTAAAATGTTTTATCTTGACATAATTTAATATTCGAATAAGATATGAATCCTATGTAGCTAGTTAGGAGTAATTGAATCTGCCAGTCTCCAAATTGACTAAAATGCCTTAGTTTTCAGGAAAATTACCTTAAAAAACCTGAAACCCTAACACCTCTCTCTCTCTCTCTCTCTCTCTCTCTCTCTCTCTCTCCCTGCTGTGTTCACCTTGCCTCTGCCTTGCCACCATCTCCACTTGTCATTGGTACCCTGACATCGCAGCAAGCTCGTCCACATACAGCTCGATCGATCTCTGGCCACCTTCTGGCCAAAACAAGAAAGAAATCTCCAGCCACATAATTAGGTGCAGTGCTCTTTTTTTTTCTGTGGGTTCAGTCAACACACTTTCTCACCAGATCAGATCTATCAGAAGATAGATTCTTTGGCTTTCATGTGGGGTGTTCAAGAATCGAGAATCACCTCTTCACCTGTCTCCTTCCGACAATACTTTTATGAGGAGTGGTTTGTGGGTCAATCGCAAGAAACGGAAGCACAGTAATGACCACTTATAAAAAGAGTGGAGGCTGTGCATGTAACTACAGAGTCAGTTCAAGGCCATTAAAAAGAGCGAATTGAATGAGAAAACAAGCGGTTCAGACGTCAGACCACAAAAGGTGTCTTTTGACCACTCTGTTCATGTCGTCTGTCGTGGCTTCACGGCTGGAGATAAGTCCAAGGCCAACCTTTTTCCGCCATTAAAAGGGGGAGGCCCACCATGTTCTTTCTCTTTGAGAAGAAAGGTCGGCAGTATTGAATGTTTAGAGGTATTTAAAAAAGACTTTTTCTTTTGGTATTGCCAGCAGTAATTGGAGTATAATTGCTTTCACCTTACATATTTACCTTTTTTTCTTTCAATTAATAGGCTCTGTGTCTAAATACCACCTAATCACTGTAATAGAAGAGTTGTTTTCTTCAGCATCCTTATTGAGTACTAAATTTGTTAAAATGGGTTATAGATCCATTTCTTAACTTGATGGGAGTGAGTTATTATATATGTTAATTATATTTAGTAAATAGATCATAAATAGGCTTAAACATGATATAAGTGGTTAATGGGTTTAAAAAATATTAGCAAAGTCCTTTACAAAATTAAGATTTTACCAAATGGTATTTAGACCAAAGTTGTTTTCAAATGTGATTTTAAAAGACACGTTACCAAACACTACTTGCATTTCGGAAAACCCTTTAACTCAAGGTATTTGCATTTTGCCAAATGCATTCCCCCAAAGCCGAACCAAACAGGCCCTAAGTACTAGACTTGTTAAAATGGATTATAGATCCATTTCTTAATCTGATGGAGTGAGTTATTATATATGTTAGTTATATTTAGTAAATATGTTATAAATAGGTTTAAACATGATATGGGTGTTAAATGGGTTTACAACTTATGTAAATGCATCCCACTTGTATGACTTTCTTCATTTTCTTTCCCCCTTACTCGATTTCGCGCACTCTCACTCCATACTCTCGCTTTAGTTTGGGCATGAGTTTTCACAAATTAAGTTAAATATAGAAGTGTTTTAGTAATATAGATAGGGGTATGAGCTATTAGATTTGCATTGCGTGGAAATGGAACAAAATGGATTAAATGGGTTTATTTGGATAAGACTATTTTCGACTTCACTAAAACCGACCCAACTCACCCGTTTAACGGGTCTACTAAGTACTTATTAAGTCTGCTATTTGATCAAAATATATCAGGTCAGATTTTGATCGATGATTTAAATATTATCACAAGCATCTCTAGTTCTAGTATTAGCGATGGAGCATGACATGTCGAGGTCGAATAACACTGTCACAATAGATTATCAATGGATGATTCTACAAAGAGGTGCTTCGAGTCGTTAAAACGACGGGAAGTTTGTAAATTTAATAATGAGAAAACTCTAACACTTTTTTAACTCTTTCTATCGAGAATTTTCCAAGCAATCTCCCTATATCATACTACAGATATGAACTAAGAGTCCTGCCTTTATTTTGTTCAAAAGAAAAATATTCATCTAAAGTAGGATACGATTTAACGAATAATTTATAACTGATACATATTTCGGTTGTACATAATGAATAAAAATTTCCGCCCTTGCAATGCACGGATGTAATGAACAGCTCACTAACAGGTAACAGCTCCCAATGTGAACATTAATCTATTGAGCAGTTGGAGACTACTATATTTGGAGGTTCCCATCTAATTGGGGACTTAAGGCTCACCACATTTTCCTTTGGAATACTCTATTTTTTATGTGTAAAAATATATTTTTTAGCTTACTTTATTTTATTCAGGTGGCGATAGCCTCATAAAATATAAAAATAAACAAAGATGGTAAACGCCATTTGTGGTCCAACATCAAACTGACTTTTGATCTTTGCTTTGCCTTGTCACAAAACCCTACTTTTTGGGGGCTGATAAGGACAATATTCTTGCATGAATATATGTACAAAGCACAGAGGGACACAATTGCAAGACAATGTAGATGGTAGGAAATCAGTTGACTTAGAAGGACTAACGCAAAAAAGATTTTTTTTTTTTTGGGTGTTCAAACCTTTCGACTTGACCAATGTGTAGGAAGTGCAAATG